GCTTGCACGGCTCCGCAAGGTTCAGAAGCCCTCAGATTAAGCATTAGAGGACCGTCGTTATCTGGATCTTCCGGGTAGCATTATTTATTATCCTTTTAAATTTTACACAATTTCTAAGCAAGTTTTGTACTATATTTAAGTGCTATTTATCTTTTTAAACTTTGACATGTTTCTCTAAGTGCTATAGGTAAAGATTCTAATTCTTTATTTTCATTCTCTATAATACTTGAATCTCTACTAATATTATCATTTGCATTATTTTTATCTATAGTATTTAAATCTATATTATCTATAGTATTTGAATCTATATTATCTGCATTTAAGTCATTATTTTCATAATCTCATTCTTTTACTAAATTCGCTGCCAATTTTGCAGGGTCAAAATAAAATACACCTTGCTCTGGTTTGTTACCAGTTAACTCATCATAATTAAGTTTATCATACTTATTATCATAATCTTGAAATCTTTTATTATCACTATCAAATCCACTATCTTGAAATATTTCATTATTTAAATATACTATGTTTTCAATATCAAAATGTTCAATGATTTCTAAATTATATTCAGCCTTCTCTACTTCAAAATCTTCTATAATTCATTAATTATCTTTAACTAAAAAAGTTGCAAATGCAACTTGTACTTGTAAGTCTTTCAATGATTTTTTTTTGCCAAAAAAAGCAAGTTCTTCTTTTATATTTAAAATATAAAAAGATCGAACTAGTGCTATAGCTTGGAGCCGAGATAAAAAAAGTCTGCATCGTCATTTTTCATATATCCAGCCTAATGCTGAAAATGTTCTTTCACAATCAGCAGAATGTGGTGTGATTGAAAAAATTTTAATCACAAGTTTTCCTATAAATTTGGACCCAGTATAATTTATCATCTATCATAACAAAGAATTATCAGTTTCAAAACTGTAAGGCAAGTCAAATTCATCTTCTTTTTCTCAGAATAATCATATATATGCAATAAGATTTGCATATTCATATTCATTATAGTTTTCATTTTTTCAAATTTGAATTGCAATTTTTACAATTTCTTGAAACTGACTTTCACGTAAACTAGCACCTAATAAAATAAAAAAATTATATTAACCAATATAGATTTATTTATTAAAAACTTAAAAATATATATACCATGATATCTTGGGTGGAGAAAATATGCAAGCAAATAAATATCTGTATTAAAATTATTCTATCTTTTGTTAAAAACTTGCTTGCAATAATTTTTAAATTCATTAATTTATAAGCTTAAATTTTTTTTAATAGTAGCTACTAAACCAATGAATTGTACAAAGCAATCTGCAAGTGTTATTGATTGGATCTCCAAGTTCATAATAGCAGTTCGAATTGGAGATAAAATTTTGACTAAAATTTTAAGATCAGAAAAAATAAAGTAACTTTAAAATTTGTTTAACAGTATAATTTGAAATTAAGTTTGGATTCTCATTCATAACCCACATATTATATAAAATAAAATTTAACTATTAATATTAAAAAAACTTAATTTATAAATAAATATCTTACTTTAATAAGTGCATGCTCAAGTTGACTAATAGATAAAGTACATTCATATGTTGATGTCCACCATGTGTCTATAAATTTTTTTAATCCACCACCAGGAATATTTAATTCATGAATTGCTTGTTGTAGATATGTATTTGGTTGATGTGATTTTTTAAAATATCTTATAATTTCATTGCACTCTTTTATAAGGTGTGAGGCAAAACTATGCTCTAAAATAATTATATATTAATAATAGTTTAATTATAATAATTCAAATATTTTAATACATACTTAGAATATCTTTAGAAACAAGATTGATACAATAAGCAATACAATTTAAGCTTAAAATTTTTAAATATTTTTCATGGATAATTTGCTATGTAAGTTTCATATTACTTGCATCGTCTATAACAATTGCTTTAAATCTATTAAACCTTACTTCATCTAAAATTATATCAACTTTTTTTACAAGAAATTCAGCTGTATGTAAATTTGCAGAAAAATCATGTAATGAATATAAAAATTTGTTATACATAGGTGTCAAAATACAAAGCTATATATAGAATTTCCATTGGGTGAAGTCTACTCGTCTAGTGCTATATATAAAAAATAATTAATAATAATTAATATAATTATAAATTTAAATTATTAAATATAATTACCCAAAGTTAGATTTTTTGATTCACAAAAGATTGTTTCATACTTAACTATAACCTTAGCTTATTCTTGGTCTAATAATTACCTGGCTACTTCCCATGATGGTAGTTGATAGTCTGGACATAAATTTTAAAATAAATTGATAAAAAATGGGGTTTTAACTATAGAAAATGAAATACCACAGACTATAAATACTTTTAATAGTGAAATATTTATAGAATTTATTCGTTCTACTAATAAGTCTCCAGATTATGGTGGAAAAACTTTTGAGAGATTATTCTGCTTATCTAATCTTTGTTTTTTTGATTTAGTTAAATTTTCAAGCGATTCTTCATTATTGTGGCTAGCTATACGTAGTAAATATGTTTGCCGAATATAGTCTTCAATATAATGACACTATAATACAAGATAGGCTTCAAGCTTTAATCGTTCACCTCTTGCCCATTTAGTTAAACAAAAAGAACACCTTGCTGTATAATATTCATGGAGTTTGTTTTTTCACAATGAAAATATTCCTATACAGGTGCTAATACTTGTCCTCCAGAGTTTATTCTATTTGATATATTCAATTCAGAAGTATTAGCTGATAATGAAATAAAAGTACTAGTTATTAATAAAGCTGAAGACAAAGAGTCTGGTGATTCCTCTCTTTCAAATGTATATGATGATAAATGTTCAGGTACTTTAGATTTTCATTTGTTTGATGCCATTTTTTTGTTTTTTTTTTTTTTTTAATATGTGATAGAAAACAAAAATGCCATGAACTGAGGTATTTATACTTTTTTTTTTATGATCATAATTGGAATAGTCCAAAACTTTGTTGTTTATACTTGTTTGTATGATGGTATTACACAGCTTCCAAAAAAGATAATAATTTTTGGATTTTTTTTTATAACAAGAATATGCTATATATTAAAGATATATATAGTTTTTTTTATAAATGTAAAATTGAATAATTGTTGTATAATAGTATTATGCACTTCCAAAAAAAAGGATATTAGATTACTATGATTTGAAATTTACTAATAATAAAAAAATTTTTAGCATTGAATCAAGATTGAAATTGTAATATAAAAGATAATAACAAATTATTAGTTCAGGTCCAATTTTTAACTGCTAAAATATAATTGTAATGCTTTTAACTAATATAAATACTTTCCAGAAAGTATAGTATATAAAAATTTATATTAATATCAAGGATTTTTATAAAGAGAATATACAAGTTATTTATCTATTTATACTTAAAAAAAATTATACAATAATTATGTATTAAATTGTATTACAATACATATTAATAATAATGCATGATACTGATATAACTATATTTGTCACTAAGCATAAAAATTTATACTATAATTTTACATTATTTATGCTGTTAAAGTATGGTGCCACAATTAGCCAATTATTATAATTATATTTACTATATATATTTTTACACAGAGTTTTTTAAAACCATAATTGTAATAATATTTATTATATGTAATAATAATATTATTACTAAAACAATTTGCCATGCAAATATTTTCGCCCTTTGGATATCTCAAAACTGCTTCCAACCATGAATGCTTATATTGCAGCATATAAACTAGGACACAACTTGGCTTTATATCAATAACAACCAAAAAGTCTCTAACTTTGCAAACAGTTTTCAATCCTCAACTCTCAAAATCTTCAGAATTAAATTACTAGCGGATGAACTCCCAGCACCTCATACTCTTCACAAAAGAAATCCTCTTTACTCTAATA